ACGCTTAATCAAAAACTTTTTCTAATTAACTCATATTTTGTTTTTCTTTAAAATGCACCTTTCATTTAAGAGAAAGAGTGTGGAAATTCCCTTTCAATCTTTTGTGCCTGACCTGTCAAATGTCAAAATGATCATGAACTATGTGTAAAGTATTAAACAACAGAACACTACTGTATAGTACTGCACTGTTGGTCTGTTTTGCATTTGTCTTTCGTCCTGGATGTTGACATTTGTTTATTAATTATATCTTGGTATCTGTACATTTGGGCTTATGAATTGTGTTGACGTTATAACAAGGATTTTTTTCATATCGAGGTTTGTTATATCGAGGTTCTGTGGCATACATTTTAAAGTAACTTTAGCCGGGATGAAAAGTATCATTCATTATACCAAGGAATTCGTTATATAGAGGTTCATTAAATCAAGGTTCCACTGTATGTGGAACTTGCACAGCCTATATTTCCTATCAATTACAGTTCATTTTTGATAGATGGAGTTTGACCCTGAGGTTGCAAATTTGTATTACAAAGAACATACCATACTTGCTTTGTTTTTTTTTTTTTGTATATGACTCTATCAACAGATAGATTCCATGTTGTCATTTGTCTGTTCAGTAATGGATCAAAGGTAAAATCAAATTGCAGTTAAGAACCAAAAGGTGGCATATCTTGTATGACATGTTACTGAACAGATGCATGACAACATGAAATCTATTTGTTATTGTATGACAAAGATGTCTTCCACTAGATCATGAGTAAAAACCTGTTTTCTTATGTTACTCTGAAATACAGCTTTTTGTAAGTTCAAAATTCTTTAAATGAAACTAAAATTACTCATATTTACACTGAATTCTGATCTAAAACTGCATGTCTGCATATCACAGGATGATTATTCTTGGCAACTCAGTCAACAAATTGTACAATGTACAGCTTTAAGTTCATCACAGGTAAATTCTTTGCTTGCATTCCACTTTCTGGTATTGTATCAGAACCAATCAAAAAATTGTTTTTAACTTCTTCTATTTAATCATTATGTTAAGTAGTAAAGTAAGTGGATGACACAATAATTTAAGCACTTTTTTCCTTTTCTTCTTTTATTTTCTTTTCAGATCCAGGGTTGTCACTAGAAAATGTAATAGGTGTCTTATCTGNTCATAAACAAAAGAACAAAATTTTCCTTCAAAATTGTTGTCATGTCTCTGTCGGATAACGTAAATTATATGTTCTATTCTGCGATTCTACAAAAGCAGTTAAAGTCTCTCTGTCCCGAACCAGAAAGAACATATTCCAATGAGAAGTTAAATTATTTAACGGTACATGTTTACAACAAAGGAAAATCTTCCTGCCTTTGAAATCTTAAGAGTGGAATGGACACAACAGTTTCAGCAAGGTGAAAAAGATCTTTATAGACACTTCCTTCTCCAACCCTCTGAAAGCTCTTTTGAAAGTATGTAGTGGATCAGCGATAATTTGCCACTGTATTTTACCAAATGGGGCCAGTTTATCTTGGTATTAAATGCTTCAGGAGCTTCACAATTATAATATTTGACAGCGATCGAAACTACCTCTTATCTTGGTGGCTCTCTTTTTTTGCTAGATTTTGTCTTCTTCGATTGACTTGACAAGTAATCGCGAAGAGATGGCTTTCTTCGCTGGCCATCATTTTCGATTTTTGAAGCATCAACGCACATGTGAATTGCGATGGTTTCATGCTTCATGACGGTCACGCATTTATATTACTCAAGTAAACTGGGCGTAAAATGGCCTGACAGCCGGCGGGTTTCCCCTGCCTACCGGCTCCTAATGACAACACTGAAATCATACAATTGTGAATATATACTAGATATTTAAGAAAAAACTCAAGTTTATTTTTCTAGAAATCAGCAACTATCTTAGCAGAGTTGAGAATTGAATTAAGAATCTTCTTACCTGATACTGCCATTAACTACCCAAAAAATACTTAGAACCTGTTTTTCCAGACTTCTAAAAATCTGCATGTTGGTACTTATGAAGTGATTTTTTCCTCTAAAATAGCACCCAGCTGAGTTTATTCGTATTCTGTTGTTTTGCAAATATTTCTAAGCACCATTCAAAAGATGCTGAGTTTACTTGTGGCAAACTTTGATGCTTGAAATTAAGAAAATCTCTGGTACTAGAAGGTTTTGAGGAAAATTTCAACTTAATTGACTGTGGACTTGTGGGCTAATTGAATGGCTGACTGGGTATAAAATCATGTAGCTTCATGAAATGACTGACTGACTTACTGTAATTTGTGGCCATTTACCAGTGGGTAATCTGTTGATTTTGCATTAAACACACGCTACTGCAGGTAATAGGGAGGTGCGAGTTATGTGACAATTTTAAAATCCTCTGGTAGCTGAATTGAAAAAATTATTCTCACCCACCTGCATTTTCACCTCTCAAATGAATTTTATTGTATAAGAGTGCAACAAAGCAGCACGAAAACATGATGCTGACTCAAGTTTATTTCACCAACAGTTAGTTGCACAACAAACAAATTTTTTATTTGCATGCGTGTAAACAAAACCTTGAGGGTGACAAAAATAATCCAAGGATATCCAGTGCATCAGTAACAAATTTCCAGTTAACACTAGCTCGAGCTGAAGAGAATTTTCCTGTTTTAAGGGACTTGTTAGGCCCAGCTGAACCAGAGAGATCAATTTTTTTTAGAAATCAACAAATCAACATGGCGCTGAACGATCGCTCGCACAAATAGTAGCCACAAATTCACATGTATGAAACGTTGTGAATTCTAGAGCCTTTTTGTACAAATTTTCTTTGCTTTGAAGGCGTGGGCTATCCACCAGTGCAGGTAATCTGTTGACTTTTTTTTTTTTTGCCATATGCAATAATCAGCAGGTGTGGGTAATCTGCCAGCGGGTAAACAACTGAAAATAACAGTACTTAGTGATTGTTGGCTGGCATGACCCATAGGCAGGTTATCTGAATGATGGACTGATGCCAAGCTGGTTGGTTGGTTTACTAATTGACTGACTGCTGGCCAGCTGGCAGACAAAAACATTTACTGCTTTTGGGCTCACAGATTGACTAATTGATTGAGAGCCAGCTGACTGATGGAGTAACCAGTGGCTGGTGAGCTGGCCAACTGACTGTTGGTGGACTGTTTCTGCAGATGGTTTGGCTAACTGACTGACTGACTGCAAGCTGGTTGACTGAAACAGACTAATATTGACTGATTGACTGATGGACCAACACATTGACTGACTGACTGACCACAGGCTGGCGGGCTCACTGATTGGCTGACTGCAAGCTGGTGGACTGGTTGACACAGACTTATGTTTGGTAGATACTTTGGCTAAGGAACCGAATGACTGATGGAACAACAGACTGACTAAAAACATTCGTACAGCTTTTCTTTCTGATAACTAGCTCCTTGCATTTTTTACTATTACTAGACATACAGTTCTTCTCTGACCATTCCATAAATGCTCTTACTATATCCATTGAGTTATCCTGTTCTTTCCACACGGGCGAAACAATACTAGTATCATCAGCATACTTAAACAGAATATCTTTACCCTTCAAACTTATCTCTAGATCATTAAGGAATTTGATAAACAAATGGGGGCCGCTCACACTTCCTTGCGTGGTACCCTTATTAACATCTTGTAACCAACCCACTGACTGATTGACTGACTGACTAAAGGTGATTGACTGACGTGGACAGATTAACTGACCATCTGAATGAAGACTGACTGTCTGGCTGATCGACTGGCTAGTAAGCTAACTGATTGACTGCTTACTTAAGTGCATAATATGCATGTAGACTACCTGATGGAATTACTGACTTCTGGCTGAAACATTTGCATAGGTTTGTTTTAAAAATTTTAAAAATTTTAGAATGGAGGGATGTGATAAGATAAATCCCTCCTGGATGTTTCATGAAATTTAGAGTTTTATCAGATATTTCAAGTCTGTTGAATTTGGAATTTATGTGATATCAGTTTATTCTACCCTAAACTTTAATTTTTTTCATAGGACTTAGTAATATGTATGAAATTTTGAAATGATTCTAACCCAAAAAGTAAACTATTGTATTGACCATCATGTGATAAGAATCAAAAAGCAGCACATGAGTTGGCAGTGAATCTTATGGTGTTACCGTGTCTTCCGTAATTCATAACTACAATTCATGTAAACAGAGACATGGCACAATGAGGTACAATTGTATTTTGCAATGAACAGGAAAAATACAAACTTGTCCCAAATGTGCTCATTCCTATTGAATTTTACAATGTTTTGGTGTCTTCTATGGTCTTTAACTGAAAAGAGACATGGCAAAATGAAATGTGTACGATTGTACAAAACCAAAGGGGGTAAGTTTCTAATAAAAGAAACCAGTGCTGCTTTGGTGAGGAGTGTTGTAAGATAATTTGGTTTTATTAAATGAGTAGATAATGTCAGCCACCTGTGTTTCGGCGTTAGCTTTTCATCAGAGCTCTAATCAAAGGTTAACACTGGAAACATCAACTTCAAAAACTCTTCACAATTGCTGATTTGCATTATCAACTCAGTTGCTAAAACCAAATTAAATGAAATGTAGCTGTCTTCTTCAATGAACAAGGAAGTGCAATGAAGAAAAAAATAACTTTCCTTAAAATAGTCAGATTGACTTTTAAGTTGCTCAGAACTCACTCTCTTTACCTTGCTCATGAACAGCTCTTAGCTATTTTTTTCCTCAGCTTTACTTGCTAAATCTGAAAAAAATCTTGAAATTATTTTCTGTACTGGGTCATGTTTGGCAAACTAATAATATTATAAAAAATTGTGCATGATATGCCAAATGCCTCTGAACTTGGATACGCAGTAGATCATGTGCAACAACTAATCCGAGTGTGTATGATTTTTAGGTCTTTACATAATTGGTAAATGAACATAGTCAGTAGTTTGCTACCATTCAAGAAAGTCTGTATTCACACGATACTATGAAATAATACTCATTTGTCAATATTGATTCAGTCAATAGATTGTCAGTGAAGATCTGCTGTGAACACACCTTGTATGTTACCTATTGACAAACAGTAGTCCAAATTTTTTTTGCTTTGGTTTGCGGTGTATGGACAACCTATTTTGGGCTCCTGCGAGTTATCCTTGGCTCATTTACTGTTTGTGGCTTATTAAAAAGCCTTGGTGTGGACAAGCCTCTGTGTGTGGCCAATTAACAAGTCTTAATTAACATCTGTGGACAAGTCTTCAGGGAAAGTAGAGAATCCACAATTTAGATCTTGGACAAGTGGGGTCAGTGTATGAAGCTGGATAACAAGTGGCAAACCGGATGGTTAAAAGCCAGGGACAAACTGAAGAGGTAAAATTATGACATTTTGCCAACTGGCACAGGCAGTTGCATTAAAGTCCAAAAGAAAACTACCGGTACCCACAAAGTTTACAATGAATTGCAACAGAAACTTGTGGCTTATTGTACTTCCCCATGGATACATGTACATGTTTATCACCATATCTTTTAAACTGTTACATGTACATACACAGTGGGATCCCAATAACTCAAATCCATGCCAACTCAAACCTTGCACTCAGTAACTCAAACCAAATTGCTTATTTTATTCAAAGTTGCACTCGAAATAATCTCATTAGCTAAACATATTCTCAATTCTTGTCTCACTGAAGTAACTCTTGAATTGGAATTTGAAGACCTGCATGGTCAAGAAAAAAAAAATTAAAATTTAAGAGAGTGAAAGCTGTTCCAGAGACTGGACTGTCTTGCTATGCTGAATGGATCTTGAACTATTAACAATAGATAAATAACTGATAGCGGATAAGCAATGGAGCCGGCTTTACTCGTAAAGTCTCTCTCTTAGTCTTGCTCTAGGATGCTGAAACTCGGCCCATCAAAAAGAAAGAGAAGAGTGTGAAAACTGTTTTGTAAACTGGACTGTCTTGCTGTGCTGATTGGATCTTGAACTGTGTACAAGAGATGGAGTTGGCTTCACCCATAAAATCTATTACTCAGTCTTGATCTGGGATCCTAAAACCTGGTGCACCAAAACAAAAAGAGCAGAGTGTGAAAACCGTTTAGGAAACTGGACTGTCTTGCTGCGCTGATCGGATCTTGAACTGTGTACAAGAGATGGTCGACTAATAGCTAACCAACAATGGAGTTGGCTTCACTCATAAAGTCTCCTTCTCAGTCTTGGTCTGGATGCTAAGACCTGTTCCACCAAAAAACGAAGAGGAGAGTGTGAAAACTGTGTTGGAATCTGGACTGTCTTGCTGCACTGATTGGATCTTGAACTGTGTACAAGAGGTGGGTGACTAATTGCCGACCCACAAAATAATGAGTCGTATTCATCCAACAAACCTTCTACAGGGAGAAGCAGCTTTCGTGGCTAAGCGTCTAAAGTACTCCATTGCTTTTGTTGCGCGCTTTAATGGGTTAAGGTTATATTCATTGTAGTATAAACTAGTATTGAATGAGGAATTTTTCATCCTTTCCTTTTCTTAACAGTGAAGAATTTTCCCCCATAATTTATAGATTTCCAAGTGTTTGTCTGGAGCCGTTGGACCAGAAGAGTTAGCGTTCTCTAAAGAGGGTGAACGATGTGGAGAAAAGGTAAGTTTTTGGTGTATAACATATTTCTCTTTATTTTCAATGTGCTACGCAGTCAGTTCGACTTTCAAGACTGATGCGATTCATCTTTTCAGAATTGTTTACTTTGAACTAATGGCTTAAGGTTAGGGCATGAAATTAAGGAGCGAAGAATTGGGTAAAGAGTGATTCAATCTATTGTAAAAATGCAGTAAAAAAAAATTCAATGACTCTACGTCATAAACGAACTACCGTCTCAAAAATTCAGTCTGGGATCAGTTTCGAAACTTTCAGAGTTTCGGTTATGACGAGAGACGATGAGACGATCGTCACTACCCGCTAACTACTGTAGCAGGGATCCTCCCAAGAGGAAAGACCACCTCAAACAAAGTACTGCTTTTACTGTGTGCCTCCCTTATCTGCGCATCAGCATTTAGCAGTCGGATATACTCAAGGACAAAGTTAAACTGATCTCATCTTTGTGGCACTGTTACAGTTATCATGTCTGTGGTGCGCATTACGTTAGCTCGTAGCCTGTTCTTTTTCAATCAGTAGATATCAAGAGGTCAGATCATCTCCAGCAAGACACCATGCAAAAATATCAACCTTGGTAAGAAAGCAGAGTTTGTTGGTCGAGAGAGAGAGAGTGCAGGATACTTAAAGAATTCTAGTGAGTCTAACTTTTTTGGTAAAGTGAAAGGGAAATTTGCAATTTTCACATGAAGTCCTCGCCAGTAATGTCAATATAAGGTAGTAATTCGTTGATTTCTCTTTACTTCGCAGGTATCTCTGTCCCCTTCACGAATGAAGCTGAAAGAAAGCTTTAATCTTAAAAGGAAGTGTCGATAGAAGTCCTCTGCCCTGTTTTATAAACATCTACAAATTTACAATACAATCTTTTAATACACATGTGCTTTACAATAGTAATATAACATCTTTTTCTTACAATACATCAATTTTAGAAAGTCTTTTCCGCCCGTCCGACCTCCCCCACCAAACCCACCCTTCAGACAACTTTCTTAAGAATTTCATAAAGTTGTCTACCTTGTGGTACTAACATTTATAACATTTGAAAGTCTTTCTGTCTTACTTTATCGTAACAAGCATCGGTCTAAAAACACGCATGTGTTTTAGAAGATTTAGTTTACTACAAGGATGAACTGGTTTGAAATTTCAAAGAAAACTGTCTGTAGGAAGTGGGTGTGGTGGGGGACGGTGGACGAAAAAATAGTGTCTTTATTGCCTATCAATAAATATCCAACTATCTATTCTTCTGCACAGTACAACAATGAACAAAGTACAGTGAAACACTTACTCCATCAATCTAATTTTCTAGTTTTGTCAAATTCTCGTAGTGGTTTGTGGCTGCTTCCTTATACTGATAAATAAAAATAATATTATAATTGCGTTATCCGTCATGGACACGGGTTAAAATTGCTGACTTGTGACGATAAATGGAAATCCTTCCATTCTCAGTCTACCTCGACCTTCCTTTTCAGCTTGTAGTTTTTGGGTACCTTAAAAAGAAAAGTAATCACATATCACATGTATTGTACTACTTGAATTGATAACTCCTTAACGTAACATGGGAAAAGGATATTTCTTGGAAATTGGAAAAGTCAACAGAAGGTCGTTCAATTTCATCAAAAATTTTCCAACCAAACAATACATTTCATAAATTAAAAAATAGTGAATTAGAAGAGAAAACATGCGTATTACTTCATTCATATACCAAATTGAGCTTGCACTACGAACGCTATGCTCGTCAGTTAAGGAACCTTTAACTGTCGAACATTGACACCAAATCATGGAAAGGCTAATACCATATGAATAAGTTCATAGTAAGTCTAGATTTCATTATTCCCACACTTCTTTCAGATAAATGAATTTTTCTGATTCAAGGACGTATTCCCTGACTTTGAGAACAATTATTTTTCTTACGTGATCATTTCCTGACCCGTGACAACCAAGCTGAGCCTGTTAACTTTTCCCATGCTTCCCTCCAAAATCTGAAATAAATCGAAGGAAATGGGGTAAACATCTTTCTTGTCTCAACGTTCATCTAGTATGAGGGGAAAGGAAAGATGAAACATTACAATGAAGAGAAAACATGAATGTGACAACCAGAAAGTGACACATACATACAAAGTCTGATAGGACATTACCAAAACCCTTGAAACTCCTCAAAAGACTATCATCAGAGACATTAGCAATGTGATGATAACCTGCCAATTATGTTGATCTATGCAGTGCAAGTGGACTACATGACTGTGTAACTAAGTTACAATGCATGCTTCTTATTGTATAATCATGCATGCTTCTTATTGTATAATCCGCCACCCAGTTAGCCCAATGAATATTGTGCGGGAGGTTGAGGGTTCGAGCCCTGGCCGGACCAACACTCAAGGTCTTAAAATAATTGAGAAGAATTTGCTACCTTTCCATAACATCAAGAAATGGTTAGATATTCTGGTCATCTCGGATAGGGACGAATAAATGGAGGTCCCATCTCCTGCAGGGTTGGGAGTAGGAAATCACTCTGTGAGATCACTCTGTGATGGATGTCCTCCCCCAGGGTGGGATGGTAGGCACAAAGGGGTTAGGTGTCAATTGGGACAAAAGTCCTGTTCCTTTCTCCTGCCATTCCCGTGGCGAATGAATTAAAATCTAAATTCTAAATCAATTTTGATTTGTACAACTACTAACTATGGTACAAAGCAGAAAAATTTCATGACTGATCATTTTTTTAATCAACTTGCAGCTTCATGGAATTGCAGTTCATCAATTTAAAAAAAAAAAAATTAGTACTAAAATCAAATTTTCATGAGAAAAAACCTTTCATTTCTGAACTCAAAACAAATTGACATGTTAGTCACTCATCAATCATTTGACAAACCAGCAAGCCAGCCAGCCAGCCAGCCAGCCAGCCAACAAGCCAATCAGACAGTCAGTCAGTCAGTCAAACAATCACCCACTCAGTAAGCCTATCAGGCAGTCAACTACCAGTCAAGCAGTCAGTTGGTAAGCCACATGTATTTAGCCAACCATTCAGTCCTTCAATCAGAAAGCAAGTAAGCAACTCAGTCAAACACTTCGTGAATGTCTGTAATCAGTCAGTCATTCAGCCAGCCAGCCAGTCAGTCAGTGAGTTAAACAGTCAGATACCAGATAAACAAATCAGTCAGTCAATCTTTTGGTCAGTTTGCTAGTTAAATAATGAGGTAGCTTTTAGCCACTCAGCCATTTTGTCACTTAGTTGGTCAGTAAGCCAGCCAGCCCATCATTTAGCCACAGCCAATCAGCAGTTCAGCCAGCCAGCCAGCTGGTCAGCCAGTCTGACAGTCTGTCAGTTGCAGGTCAATCATTCTGTCATTAATTCAGGCAGCCAATTAATCAGTAAGCCAGCTGGTCAGTCATTCAGTCAAGAAGTCAATCAGCAGGTCAGTGAGTCAGTCAGTATGTAAGTCAGCCAGTAAGTCAGTTTGCCAGTCAGTCAGACTCAATCAATCAGTGAGTCAGTCAGTTTTAAGTAAGTCACTTGGGCCCAGTTGTTCGAAGGCCGATTAGTGCTAACCCAGGGTTAAATTTTAATCCTGGTTTCACTATTTCTCTGCTCAAGAGCCATTTTGGGAAAAAATTTCCAATATTTTTCAGAACATTCAATCATTAAATTGTAGACAAGTGGAATTAAACTAAATTTTCTTTTAAAGCTTTCAGATCTGAAATCAAATTTTACACTAACCCTGGGTTATCTCAGCCCACCTTTGAACAATCCGGTCCTGATCAATAAGTCAGCCAGTCTACCACTCAATTGCTTAACCAATCAATAAAGCTGTCAGTCAGCTGGTCATTCATCTAATCGTTCAATCAATGAGTCAATCAGTACATGCATCACGCTGATAGGTACGCGAGCAGCAGACCAGTCAATAACTTGGTTACCAGGCACACTTGATATGAAACTGTCTACCGTTCTGTCAATTAAGTATATTCCTTTAGTGAACAGTAAAGCATCTGCAGGTTTATATACTGAAGCCATTCCCTTAAATGGACAGATTCAGTCAGTCAGTGTACCAATAAAACATTTTTTTTGTCACCAAATCAGACATTTGTTAATTAAAACCAAAATTAATGGTCTGAGCTGAGACCAAGTAATTAGGAGGACAAGTTTTTTGTTCTCTCTCTCTTTCCCTTCCCAACCCTTTTGGTGGTTATGGCCATTCATCCTTTGAGATTGCTTTTGGCTAGAGGTTAAAAGGTTTTTCTACTGATACCCAAGTCTACTAAGTCATATACACTTGACTGAGGGCCAAGCACATGTACTTAAAAAATCCTTGTATTTCTCAAAAATGATAACTGGTACAATAAAATGGTAACAAAAAGACAGAGACATGCTAAAAATATCATTACAGCCTGAATTTGGAGGAAAATGGACTCACACCCTGCAGTGGCTTGTCCTACATTGGCAAAAATATTAATTTCCCTGCTCCTTTAAAAGATGGGAAATGCAGTGGATTCAGACAGAAATATTTAAAGGCAAACCTGCCACCTTGATGCATACACATGTACTCCTATATGCTGTGCTCTTTAAAAATGGTAGTAACAAACAAAATTGGTTTTAAAATAAAACTGGGGGTAGATTACACTGTACCTGAATCTTTGTGACATGCTATATTCATCTGGCAACCAGTGCACTAACAAAAAATTAATAAAGTAAGTCATGATTTAAATATTTTTTTCCTGCATGAAACCTGAACACTGTACATCTGTTTTTACTACTCCAGGTATTACTGAAATTCAAACATCTTGAACAGAGACTGATATTAAATACCAAAGGTTTAAAAAAAAAACTCAAATCTCACTTCACCCAAGAAAAGCCCAGAGGGATCTTGACAAAACACAGCTAGTAAATTCACATTACAGAAAATTTTGGCAGTCAAATCATCCACTAGCTGGCAACAATCTATGGAATTGTTCTGAACATCACTAGCTGGCAACAATCTATGCAATTGTTCTCAACATCTCTCTCAATAAATCAAAATGATCTGGCAGTTCTTTGTCAATAGGAGGAAATATTTCCAATTTGAACAGGTCCATCCAAAAAAATGTCCTCAATGTTCATGATGCATAATTTCAGAAACACTTTTTTGTACCACTAAAAATTGTTTTCTATGTCATATCTAAGTTCCTGTTAAGTTTTCCTTAAGTCATAAAATGTATTGAATGTAACAAATATGGAATTTACTAAGAAACCATCATGCAAAGTTTCTGTTGATCATACAGAGTACTCAAACCATAAAAAAAATAAAGGCAATCCATAGAAAGTATCTGAAGGGGTCAAAATAAAACTTTTGTTTCCAAAGCCAAACAACAAACTTTTGCAACAACCAACTATTCATTACAAAACCAAGTCCTGACTGACTGATTATTGGAGAGCTATTCAGATTGCAAAGGTTTATTAAGCCAAAAATTAACATGTGATGCATGAATTCTACAGAAATGTAAGTTAAAGAGTTAAAGTATCCCCTTTTAAATCTGTGATGCTTGGAATATTTTTCAAAGTACACATGACAAGTTCATGTATGCACAGTAGAACACAAAAATTATCTCTGAAAGTAGAGTCAAAGACCACAACTGAAGGCAATGCATAGAAAGTATCTGCAGAGGTCAGTACATTCATTTTGTTTCCACAACCAAAATTAGAAAATTTTGTAACAACTGACTATCATGATTACAAAAACAAGTCATGACTGACTCATTATTGAGGGGCTTTTCAGATGTATGAGGATGACAAAGGACTTATTATGCTCAAAATTAATATGTGATATATGAATTTCACAGAAAGCCGAGTGAGGTAAAGGAGATTTCAAGTTTTCCCTTTTAAATCTGCTTAAGATATTGTATACAGAACACATATAATTTGTGCATAAAACAGGATCAGAATTCCCCTTTGCTACCCCCTTGTATACACAGCACAATACAGAAATGATCTCTGAAAGTGGAGTCAGACACCATAAGGGAAGGGGGGAGGAGGACTGGAGAGACAAAGAAGGCAAATCAAGATTAAGAAAGGTGGGACTTGCAATTATCAATCTGTGCCAAGGGAAAGAAAAAAATAAAATCGCAAGTCTCATGTAAGTATGACTGAATGGTATTTAAGGAAGACTACAGGTAGGACATGAAATTAGACCTACCGGTAAACTTAGCTTAAACAAGAGTTGAGTTTACCAGGTTCTTGCAACAGATGGATGGCAAATTGCAACAACAGCTGCTTTAAAGAACTGGCGTCACCATGATCCT